GACCAGATTGCAAGATCAAGTTGATTTCAAGTATCTGATTTCAAAAGGTTTTTTCAAGGTGAGTGATTTCTAAACCTTTTGCATAAAACTTGTTACTGGTTTTATTTAAATGTTGTTTATTTTGGAAAGATATCAGTTATTCGTTTAAGGGTTTTATCCGGACAAAGGGTGACCAGATTATTCTTAAATCGAACAAGGGTTGGGCGATTAAGCCCTAAACCGGTCAAGTGTTAAGCGGTTTAGTTTTAAACCGGGCAAACATTGAGCGAGTTATGAATATTGAACTTATCTAACATTTTTAACGGAGAAGTATGAATACGACCATGTGGTGAACGAATTGTTTTAAATGGGTCAAGCTTTGGACGATATGTTGTCCGGACTTGTTATCCGGACAAAAATGTGAAATATAATTCTAAGTGTTAAATCGGACAAGCCATGGGCGATGAGTTGTCCGGATTTGGTAAACCGGCCAAGACTTGACCGGAGATGAAGTCCGGCCAAGTCAATGCTGACCGGATTTGTTTTATGTCTTGTGCCTGATTGATAAAAATTCTTATTTTATCATAAAATGGGAATTTGATATAAATGATTTTGGATTAATAATAATTCCATTGACTGCGGTCTATTTGGAATTGTTTTGTGAAATATTTTTTTGAGGAAATAAAGGTGGCATATCAAGGAGAGGTGTACTATGGGATAAGGGTGGCATATCAAGGAGAGGTGTACATTTGATATAAGGGTGGCATTTGTATGTGTGTGGTATGATGTAACTCTTTCTATTATATCCCTTAAGACTACCGTTGTCTAGAATCTTTATTTCTTTGTGATTTAAAAATTTAGGATCAAGGTTCTTATTGAAAATCATAGTCTGGATGTTATTGAGGAGAATAAATAACAGGTTTGGCCTGATACTTTAAATAAACCTTGTTGATCTGAAAAGGTTTAAAAGTGGCATTATATGGAACCTAGTTGGTTCAAAGGTATGTGATTTGAATAATCTGAATGCTTGGCAATGAAAAGTGGAAAGGTACTGGTAATATTTCCCTATGTGTTCATATATTTGTTATATATATGAGAAAAGTTGTTTTTCATAAAGATTTTAATGATTTTCACCCTGAAAGAACATAAATAGGGTAACTCCCTAGACCTTTCGGTCTAACCCTTGTTTCGTGATTTTAAATATGTATTACAGGAGGTACGGACGGTAAGGGAAAGGGGAAAATGTGATATTTTCCTATATGCATTTCTACATGAAGATATGTCTTTGATGTACAGTTTTGATTGATGAACGATGATTAGTACAAGAAATGTATTTGAATTTTTGGACCTTGTATTCTGTAATGATAGATTCTTATACTAAGGGACCTGAATATGATATAAACATGTATTTCTTTTGTATGAAATATGTGTTACATGCAATGTGTGTTATGGGGCGTTACATTTATACAATTTCACATATATATATATATATATATATTCATCATCATTACAAAATTTACATCTAAATCATATAATTAGCATTCATTTAAATGAAAATATATCAATAACGGTATTTAACACATTTAAATCCTATTAAATTACATCAATTGAGAGAGGCGAGGATTGATTTGGTAAGGATCAATTGAGAGAAATGATCGATTAAGGTTAATCGATTGAAAAACACCATTGTTGAGGGTTTGAAGAACAATAAGAGGAAAATAAGAGGTTGGTTTACCTCTTACCAGATAAGAGAACAATAAGACATAAGTGCCTCTGAAAAATTGGAAAAAACAAACAGTCTGGATAGTCTTGCCTCTTAAAGAATCAAATATAAGATGTTGATAAGAGTTCTTTTATATATAAAAAAACGAACAAGACCCAAGTGCCACATTCGATGTTATGGATCAGAAGCTTCTGAGAAGGACTTAAGTGTTTTGAAGATCAATCTCATGTGGTCCCAAGTTTGCTACTTAACTTTACACATGGCATGATCTTATTGAATGCATGAAATTCATCACCTTCCTAGAGAGTATCTAAAAGGATCTCATGCCCCAATTGTCATTTCAATGTTGCTCTCTTTCTCTCTCTCTCTCTCTAAATATCAAACATACACTAAAAACATAGTTAGTGTTCTTCAATTTTGGTGATGTAATCATATGACCACGATTAATCTAATGAATGAAATTCTATCTATTTGTTCTCTGACTTCAATACTCTATTTAGATTATAATTTTGATCTACACAATACAATTTATGTTAGATTGTTAATTCAATTGAGATATAGGATCCAACTGCATGATTTTAAGCAAGTCTCAATGCCATAGCACAAAATCTGAGTTATAGAATGAATGAGTGAAATTCCATATGCTTTAGCAGTTAGATCCATCTTTATATAATGTTATGCACAAGGCCAAATGTCTTTGAGCATGATGAGTAGATATCGGCAAAATCCAGGTACTGTCATTAGATGATAGTCAATGACAGTCAAGAACATTTTGGAGTACTTGGGAAGGGCAAGAGATATATTCTTAATTAATCAAGGTTTGGGAGAAGATATTAGTGTAAAGTGTTATATGGATTTTAGTTTCCAAACTAATCGAGATGATTCTCAATAACAATTGGACTATGTGTTCACCTTAAATGAGGGAGCAATAACTTGGAAAAGTTCCATGAAAAAGATAGTTGCACAATCTACTACAGAAGTTGAATACATTGCTTCTCAGGAAGCATCACAAAAAAGCTGCTTGGATGAAGACATCCATTGTTGATCTAGGGGTGATCTCGATCATACAAACCCTATAGAGATATTTTGAGACAGTAAAGATGTCATTGCACAAGTAAAGTAACTTAGGTCACACTGTTGCACGAAGCTTATCATCAGGAATTTTCACTATACTCGAGAGAGTGTAGAAACAAGAGATGTTTGTATTTGCAAAGTTTACACAGATAAAAATTTGGCAGATCCGTTCATGAAGCCCCTACCACAACCCGAACATGACGGTCGTGCTTGGTCTATATGACTTCGTTATGCTAGATGCTAGATTTGATACATACTTTGATATTTGGATATTTTGGAGCGTGTAAAAGGCAGTTGTTTTGTCTAATATGATCTACAAGGATATGATCATATTCATTAATATATGTTGTATTCCATATTAGCATGTTTAAATCCGTGAATAACACAGTTATTCTAAAACATCCATAGTCAATAATAATTATGAGAATAGTTAGGAATTAAGTGTGAATTAGTTTATTGACTTTCACAGGTGATGTCATTCGGCTATGGGTTGCAACCAAATTTACATATGTTTTGTTGGAGAGCAAACATTGAACTTGACCTCCCTTCGAGATCACTTCATGGATTAGTGTCGTGAGTCTCGATAATGATAATATCTATATCCCTAGACCTAAGATACATAATGGGTCTCAAGTGTGAGGAATGTTATGCTTTGATATGGTCAAACGTTTTCCTTTAGGCAGACAATTATAAAAGCCATCGTTAGGTATGACATGAGACACATAAGAGGCGTATGTAGTCAAGATGAAAACTTCATTCCAAGATATTTCGTAATCATAATATTTACGATCTATTTTGGCATTTAAAATTATTACTTTTTTCACTCACTACAACAAAATTGGGTTTATAGGATGCCTAAAATATCTAAATGTCTTAATAGGAATAGGACTTAAATTTACAAGACCAAAGTGTCGTGTTAGCTATTTTATAACACAATTTTCCATCTTTTTATAGAACACTTATGTTTATAAGACACTTTTTCAAATACTGTCGTACAAAACAACTAATACGATACTTTGTTTTAAAAGCGTCCTAAAACTTATTGAAATGCCCAAAATTTAAGATCCCATATCGGTGGGGGGGAGAACTAAGGTTGCCTTATAAGGGACTTTATACCTCTTCTATCAGACGTGTTTTAAAATCGTGAGTTCCGGTGTAGATAAAGCGGACAATATCCGGTATGTTGGCCCTGTGATGTTACAGGAAAACGTCCTATAAGCTTATTGTAACACTTTTAAAATAGAATGTATTTTTTTATTTGTTCCTATAAACTTAAGTTCTATAAAGCATTATATTATTAACCATAGACATTTTAGATGTATCATGTACTAGATGTTGTAATAACTATACATCTCGTAATGTGATCGTTTCACAATAACTATCTTTATTATAATAAAAAAAACAACATTTAGCCTTAAATAATACGCACAATAAGAGAGCCCATTAAAAGAATTAATTAAAATTGATTTGTGTCTTGGTTCGAGCTTCAAACGAGTTCGAGTCGAGTTTAGTTTTTAACTACTGGCGAGTTTACGATTCGAGTTCGAGTTTGAGTCGAGTACATCAATACTTACGCTTGACTCACATCATTTACTGACGGTGAGTCTGTGACTATGAGGGAGAGGGCCAAAGTAGAATTTGTACTAACATAATAAACGCATGCATCCAACAAGGAGAAAAACACAGGGGCCATACCTCCAGCCCGTTAAGCCATCCGCCATGGGGCAGACATCACTTTGGTTAGAAAGGATGGGATAGAGAATTAAAAGAACTTTGAACAAGTGATATCTGGGTAATTGATAGATCCTAGGGTTTTAGGTAAAGGTATAAATGATTCGAGCTTTTAACGAGTTATTTGAGCTCGAGTCAATTTAGAGCACAAAATAAAGTTTGCTTAAATTTAACGAGTCACACTCAGCGCGATTATACTTTACGAGTCAAGTCGAACTAAACCATTCGAGCATACATTATTTCAAGCCAAACATGCTAACGTTTACAAATTACATAATCAAAATATAAAAATCAAGAAGCTTAACGAAATAAACGAGTTAATCAATCTTGAGTTCGAGCTCATAAAAGACATCGAGCTCTAGCTCAATCATTGAAAAAATATTTGAGCCCGATTTTGAAAAGGTTAATCGAGCTCGAATATCTCGCTACTCGACTCGGGTTGTTTACACTAGGTTCAAACCTCATCTAGATTGTTGTGTATGAAGATAAGAGGTGTTGTAAAGCCAAATAATCAAAGTTCAAACTTGTAATCATCAAAACATAATACATTTGCTGTAATCATCAAAACATAATACATTTGCTGTAATCATCCTACAAATCTTAAGCAGATGATAATCTCAAACTGTAACATGATTCATCATCATCATCATCATCATCTCAATACAAACACAACTAAAAAAAATCTGAAGGATTGATTGATCGATCAACGAACATTGCGGACTTTGTTTTCTTGTCCTAAACCAAGAGCCTTTTGAGCATTTGCTATACCTTGAGGATCTGCGGATAACGAAATAAGTCAATAAATTGTTTCTTGTTTTACATTCGGTAACCATTTTCAATGATATTTACCAGAGAACTGTGTGAAGATGCGCGTGAAGAAGCTCAAGTTGCGAGAAACATTGTACTGCATCGAATAAGGTAGGGGTTTCACGACAGTATCAATGCTGAATACCCGCTGTAGGAACTGCATTTAAATACAAGGATAATGCTTTAGGAAAATTAAAACATAACAACCGCCCCTCTCACGTGATTTTATAGAGCTCGCAACAAAATGATCAATGAGCACTGCAAAATTATATTAAGACAACAATAAATAAGGATCTTGTAGAATTTCTAGAAACGCACTTGTACCTCTTAGAATCAGCCACACCTATTTTCAAGGTGGCTTCAAATGCCTTGGAGAATAAACCAAACCAAAAAAACCCATTATGTCCTACCCTCAAGTGGGGTTTAGAGGGGGTGGATGTATGCGGACCAAAGCAGTTCCAATCTTTTTGGAGGCCCAGTCACATCTGTTATAGGAAGGCGAGTTATTGATTAGGATTATGCTGCAAAGGTTGAAGCATGGCCCCAAGGCCCAAATACATGCAAAATTGGGCCCCCAGAATCCCACATTTAACATGCTAAGGAACGGCCCTGCCAACAACCCATCATCCAAAACATAAGAGAAGCTCAAACAAGTGTGCCTTCAAATGATCCTACCATTGAGAACAAACCATCACACATCCATGTACCTCCAAGGCAACTTCTAGGGTTACAGATGCTATAAGACACAACAATTGAAGTCAACTCTGCTCCCAATTAACAAAGACCCTTCCTTAGATATCATATTTTTCATGGTGAGCCCAAAACAAAAGGATGTCTTGGCACCCTGATGCTTGCCATATGGTCCCACGGCAGCATTTTATTCCTTATATGCAATTTATTTACATAAGTTTATATGCATCAAACACTAATACGGGCATACGGAAAGATCTAGCCACCAAATATGAAATTTCAAGATTCAATGGCACGAGAATATGTGAACATTTTCAACAAATTAACACATAATAAAGCTTAATGTGTACATTTTAAAATTAAAGCACAATACATCATCTATCAATCAACATAAGACCTACAGATCAAAAATTAAAAGCATATACATAGCACTTAACTATAAGGCTAACACTAGAGTCTAAACTATGTTGTCAGTAAAACTAGATCTACGATTCCAAATTCAAAGCATTTGTTGCATAAATGACTTGCATAACATACATAAGAAATTGTGCACTGCTATTGACTAGGTAATTTCACTTTTAAAGAAGAATATTAATAAAAGTAATAAATATATCTATTATTATTCACTAAGTGGGAGGTTCAAATAAGAACGCTAAATATCGTAAGAAGGTAAGAAGGAAAGGTTAAGGGAACATGTATATGTTAATCATTGAGAAAACGGGGGAAAATCGATTTGAAGATGCATATGTGGACTGATGTTACATATCATTAGTATGGGTTCACATGGGCATCTTCAAATTGATTTTTTCAATGATTCACATATGAACCTTCTCTTCTTACCTTCTCATGATATTTAGCCTTCATAAATAAAAGGAAAAACAAAAGATGAACAGGATAAAACTATGCATGGAAGAAACAAAGAAGATAAAAGTACTAGAATTCCACTAACAAGAGAAGATTGGACTCACTCTTCTGCTAACAAAAAGAGACAATGTTCACCTGTTGGCTGTTGCAATGAAAATTTCGAGTTTCCTAGTTCTTCTCCCACACACTCTTATTTTCTAACTCATCCCACGGCCATTAGGGCTTTAATCTGAGGTTTCGAATTGATTTCGCAAGTGGGTTTGCTGTTTACTCTATTTAACTTTTATTGGAGTAATTTTAGGCTTGCAGTGAAGTAAGCCTGCCATTTTGACCTAAATTAGACATTGCATCATGAAGAACTATGAGACTGACTGCCACACATCAAAGGAAAGACCCATGCCAATTGATCAACAAAGGTACACCATAACAACTATGTTAAATACTTTAAAACTCCATATCACTTTTGAAGATGAAAGTTAATCCTTGGCATTCAAAGTCAAATTGTTGTTAACACGATTGTGGGATGGTGTATGTCCATCCACCTTTGTATTTTCCAAATACCAAGGGGTTGTTTGGCTGGTTTTCCATCATGTCCTATATGGATAAACCTGATTGTCTAGATTAATATGTCTTATAGATAAGGAGGGTTTTTTCATATATGGAAGAAGCGTGTTTTTTAATTGGGAAAGACGGGTTTGGAAAAAACGTAGCTTTCTGTATAAAGCTGCCCCCTCAAAGCTTAGTGAATAAGACACTTTCTATATCATTAGCTGACAGAATAAGTTGGGAGTCCTGATATGCTCATTAAGCAACTAACTAACTGGTCCTAAATTTGATTTTCAAAACAAATACTCACATTTGTTTCTTTTCTTTTCCAATCCAAGAAACGTGCAACCAGATTCCACTTTCGCTTTAAGAAATTTAAAACCCATATCTTCAAATTCATATATGACTGTTTCTTGCAGGATTTATAATTGCAAAATGTTTTTATAATGATACTAATACAACATTAATCACTCTCAAAGCTTAAGCATATCTTAGTGGGCATTTAAAATTAAATATAATTCAACGAACATACAACAAAAATAATCAAATATAAGCAGCTGAAACTGAAGAGTGAAGAGAAATGTGTAAAATAAACATAATCTAAGAAACGGATATTTGATTTCACCTGAAAATTGCGCTGGAAGCTGTAACGAAGTTCAGGATCGATTTCTGTGAGAGAATCGTCTTCGTCAGCAGGAAGGTCCTTGGACTTGTTCTTGCCTGGAACGTGCATAGTAGAAGTAGTGCCTGGCTGGGCCGTGACTTTGAGCTTGGCGTCTTTGAATTTGTCTCGTTGATCGTCTCCTCCCACTCGCCATGGCGCCGATGCTAACAATTCTTTCTTCGTTTTCCCCATCTTCTCGAAAACCCTCGTCAAATCCAATCAAACTGCAGTTGGATAATAATAACAAGAAGGGGGAGGAGTGGTGTGGTGGTAACAAATTTCTAAATGTACATAAATCATCCTCCAAATATAGTTTTAAGTTAGAAGGGGTGGCCAAGGGGTGGCCAAGACAGGACGAACAAGAGTATAAAACTGGACAGGATTGGATAGACATGATTAGATAAAAAAAATGTTTGTCTTGTGTTTGATATGATTAGGATTAGACATGACAGAATTAGACTGACAGAACTAGACAAATTATATCCAAAAGTTATTTTATAATTTTATATATCATATAATAGTTATAATTAACACAAATAAAATAAATAGTTTAATTTATAAACATTTTTACTCAATTTTAATATACATAAATAGAAAATAGTACCAAATTTGAATGAATCTTTTTATATAATAGTTTGAAAAAACCTAATTCATACAAATGAGAAAGATTATGTTTTATTCGGTTTCGAAGATCCTTATCAATTGGTGAAGACACAGTGAAGATTGTTGCAATAATAATGGTTCTGAAGGTAGAAACATTGGTAATTGGTGGACAATGGTGGTTGTAGAGGACGTAAAGATGGTGGATAGTGGTGGGGCGACGGTCGACAGTGGTGGAGGTAGTTGTGGCTTATGTGGTGGAGGTAGGTGTGATGGTGGGTAGTGGTGGTGGTTATGGTGGAGGTGGTGATGGCCGATGATAGTAGTGGTGGTGGAGATGGACGATGGTAGTTTGTGGAGGACGTGAATATGGTAGATGGTGGTAGTGGTAGTCAATAGTGATGGCTGACGGCAATCGTGATAGTGGTGGGGAATGGTAGTGGTAGTCGATGGTGGTGGTTATGGTGGAGGGAGGTGCCCCATGGTGGTGGCCACGAATGGTGTTGGTCGGTGGCTGATGATGGTTGTGGAGGTGGTAGAGGAGGTTGTAGTAGAGGAGAAGGTGGAGGTGGGCAACGGTGGTAGTGGTGGTGGTAGTGGACGGTGGCCGAAGATGGTTGTGGAGGTGGTGGTGGAGGTTGTTCTAGCATAAGAGAAGGTTGAGATGGCCAACAGTTGTAATGGCGATGAACGGTGGTGGTCGATGGCCGATGGTGGTTGTGGAGGTGATGATAGAAGGTGCTGGTCGGTGGTTAATGGTGGTTGTGGTGGAGGTGGTAGAGGTGGCCGATGGTGGCTACCAGTGGTGGCGACGGACACAACTTGCGGTGGTGACCACTAAAAAAATATCATGTAAAAGTTATATATTGAACGAAGGTTAATTAGTTATTATTTTAATTTATGTCTCATTCTTGTCCCATTTTGTTTCACCTATTATAGTGGACAAGAAAAAGTTTTTTTTGTCTCATGTCGTCCCACCTTGTCCCAGTTCTTGTCATGTCTCATGTCGCACCAAACGTGGGACAATGAGTTTTTCCCCTCTCTCATGTCGCGCCAAACATAGGATAGTGAGTTTTGTCTCATCCTGTCTTGTCATGTCCCGTGTACCGAACGCAACCCAAAAGTGATATCACCAAGCAACATCTAATCATAGTTCATGATAAATTTAAAAGTATAGAATTATTAAGCAATAAAAAAAAGTTGATATGCCATCTTTGTCCCTTTAGCTGCTAATTTGGGGAATCCCCTTCTCCTAAGGGACGGGTACCTAAGAGCATGGGTAAAATATTCATAACTACAAGTAGTTTAAAGTAACAACACTGACTATAAAAACTACAACAAACATCCAACATTCCTTTTGTTGTGCAAATAAAATTTTGGCCATTAGATCATCCATTCCAATAAGTGTCACGGAACGTGAAATATTGATATGAAAATTATAAAGAATGTCCCTAATCCCTAAAAAGTTATGAACAGGGTTCTCATGGTTTCCTTTCGTTAAATGTTCCGTTCTTAGTCTTAACTCTAGTTAAAATTGATTTGTTAAGCACCCACCTTCCCCTCATGATAGAGGAGTGTTTTTGTCATTTACCTATTAATCTAAGTTTTTTTTATTAAGCCTCTAAAGTATTTAAAAATTTAAAAAACAATTAGAATCCTAACAACCCGTCTACAGCTCCCCTCCTTATCGTCATCTCCTATCTACGGCCCCAACCACATCTCTTACCACCTTAGTATACACATAGAGATCTTGTACACACACATGTCCATGAGATTCAAACCGGAGAAAAAAGAAAAGAAAATCTTGATTTCCCCAAACCTATCAGGTCCATAGCCCAAAACCAAAGAAAAGAAAGAAAGAAATAAGGCTCGACCCAAATTAGGAAAGGAGGGAGTATATAAACCTAATTATAATTAGGTTTAGGGTTAAGGGAAACTTTGCTTAGCCTCTCCTCCCTCCCTCTCTCTTGGTCGCCAACCGCACACAAGAGAAATCATTTTTTCTCTTGTGTAAGTTTTGGTTCAAAGGGCTAGCAACCAGTTCAAGGATTGATTACAATCTCACTTGTCGATACCGGTAGGGGAAGCCTATGTTGGTTTCTTGTGCTTCAGAAATCCAGTCTTTTGAGGTAGTCTTCTAAAACACCATATGGTTGATATTTTTCTTCTATTGCTTATGCATTATATTTGGGCCAACTAGGGTTTATGGACCTGGTTTTTTGTTTATTATGTTTTATTTTTCCTTTTAGTACGGTAGGTATGGTTGTTCATCAGAATTTATGGTGAGCACTTGATCAAGGGCAATGCCCACTCTATTGCTAGGAGTGTGCACTATGGTGACTCTATTGAACCTTGAATGTGCATGAACAAATATTAAGTGTTTTCAATACACTTGTTGACTCTTCTAACTCTCCTTATGATGATGATAACTTATACCTAGTGTATTCTTGTATTAAGTTTTAGCTGAAAGCAATTAGCCTTTGAGTTTGTGCAGTGATTGCTGAAAGTTTACTTTACAAGTTAGAACTTCTACTCTGTATGTTTCCTTAGTGATAGTAATAGCTTCTGTAAGTCTATTTCTTATTGCAAGTTGACTGATTCCAAAAGACAAAAGCTTCATACATCAAAGAAAAACTTCATGCTATATTTAAGATGTAGCTGAAGATAAAGACAGGAAGACCTGAAGCGGTTTCAACAAGTCATCCTATCTTAAAACGTAAAGATCTACACAAGATACTTAACTAATGTTGAATCAAGTCTTAGCATCCTCCCTCTAAATGAACATGAATCTTGTAGAACAAGCTTAAGTCTTATCCACACTTGCATTTTGCAAAGACCATGCACTATATGACGGAAAGGTATAGTATAGATATCATTTTATTATCCCTTTCATACATGACCATGTTAGACATCTCGAATATGTTTAAAACCGATTTTAGAAAAAAAAAACATAAAATAATGCACAACGGGAAAGAAAAACAAAACAGATGTAAAAGATTTCCAATAGCCATGATCTAATTGAGTAAAAATAGATCAATCAAAACAAAAAAAAAACTAAAACCATCAAAATTCGATTTTTACCTCTTAAATCAAGGAGTTGATGAGAACCGAGTGTTCAAGTTAGAACACCTTTACAGGTATCCATATGAACAAACATCAATCGAATGCTAGTTTGTTCTTCAATAAAAAAGCAATTAATTTTGTTCGTTAAACAAAAAACCAACCAAGAGGAGAGGGAGAGGATTTTTAGTTTCTTGGAGGAGGGGAAGAGATTAGAATCTTACCCTAGTTCTCCTAATCATTTTCTTTTATATTGGATCTTATGTGCTTTTCGTTATTTAGGTCTTAAAATCTTTTTAATCTAATTAAATAAATAAGCCCATAAATTTTATTTAAACTCTACTAGTTTATATAATAATATCTTTTAATTAATTAATCACATGGATCTAATTAATTTTTTCATTTTTTTTCTTAGACATTATTTAAACTCACTTAGCCAAATAAGTTTGAAATAAATTTTTACTCGTTTTGATTGAGTAAATAATTCTGAATGTTTATTAAACCCACTTAGACATCTATATTACATTAATAACCATTTAGGCCAAAATCTTAATTACAAACCAGAAGACACAAAGTACTACCATTTTATGCATAGATTTCAAAAAACTTTTAAGACAAGTCACAAAGCATAATGTACAACCATTTTATACATAAAGTTCAAAAAAACTGAATTACAATTAACAAAGCATAATGTACAACCACCAACACCACCAAGGTTGAAGCTTTGAATTTCACTTTCTTCGTTGAAGCCTTTTTCATCCCCTCTTTACAACATTCTTCCACCCATTTAGTAACTTCAAACCATTTTTTCTTGCTTCTTGTTTCTTCCTTCCCTATTTACAGCTCTCACCTGAAAATTGTTTCAGCTTTTCTTTATTGTGAACAAGCTTCTTCTATTTGACTTTGATTTGAAAGGGTATTATGAGCTAGATTCACCCTTCTCACCAAGTCAATCAGAACACAACACAGATCTTGATGGAACCGCATGTCCATCGGCCACAGCTCCAACTTCGGCCGCCTTCATCGTCGGCACCCCATAGCTCCAACTCCAGTTGTCTCTATCTCGGCAGACCCAACAACCTTGCTCGATCTGTTGCTCCCTCTACTTCTCCTTGAAATAGAATTGTCCAAACCACAAATTTATGTTCAAACATATAAACCAAAATATTTCATAGACTTTAGCAATACAAACAAAAGAATACAAAAGTATTCTCAGATTTTTACAATATGAACATAAGAAACCCTAGATCTAAAGCTTAAGAGCTAAACATATGAGAGAGCTTAGAGAGAGACTCGTCTCAAAGAGAATAGAAAAATGAGTGAATAATTAACCTAGACCGGATACAAAATGCTATTTATATGAATCAAAGAATGACAGAAAAGGTCCCTCAAAAAACAATCCACTTGCTCCGGTACCCTTTGTCTTTTCCAGAAAACGAGGCGCAGTCCTTGTACTGCTACTATCAACTTTCAGACTTTGTCAACTTTAGCCCCTTACAATTAAGGAAATACAAAAGTTAAGATTGTAATAGGAAACTATGTATTTTAACACCCTCCCTCAATCTTGAATTTTGAACAAATCAATCATTCGCAGCTTAGAACATAAGTAATTATGATGACTGATTCCAA